CTGCCATAAAGGTAGCCAAAGCATGAAGCATAGGGACAACCATGCCAGCCTGCATAGCTTTTATATTGTGATGTTGTCATTTCTGTCTTAGCACTAATATTTTACAGATTGCAACCAACCACCTATGTTGTGCTTCTTAATTGGCCTGAGATGAATACTGCTCCTGCTGTCCCTTACCCACCACCAAAATCAGGATGGGCAGTGCTGCAGCATCAAAGTTTGGCATCTGGGACAAAGCTCACAGAGGCAGCCCACCCTTGCCTTGTGCACAGATCTGGGGGGCACCCCCCACGCTTGCCCAAGAGTGCACGCAGAAGCAGAAGACACCCTCCCCCTGTCCCTGCACCTCCACAAATGAGCGACTCGTGGCTCCATCCCGCACCCTGCCCCGGCTGGGCAGCACCTGCTGGCGCCCCTTCACTTTGGCGCCTGGGGCAGTCGCTCACCTTGCTTCAGCACTGAGGATGTGTAATGTATATGTGTAATGATGACACTGAGCTCCCTTTACAGCCATTTGGAGCAGCACAAAGTTACCCTAAAGAAGCAGGTGAGAACATAGAAAGAGACTGATTCATCTGAGTTTTGTCAGTGTTACCCCCTCCCCGTTTTCCACTCTTCATCTCAGGGTGAATTACAAGGTGTGCGAGAACTCCTCTAAAATCCTCCTTGAATGTACCATGTCTGGAGCAGTGCTGTGTGCGCTCCCCGGCCGCCTGCGCGTCTCGCTGGGTAATTTCAACTCGCTGAAGGCACCTCACAGCGCTGTGGAGGGACACGGTGAGTGCATCTGACAGAAGAAACCCACTTATTGCCTCATGCTCATCCTATCAGGGCACCTGCCCGACTACAGTCAAATTGCAATGAATAATTAAAACATCATTTGCATAAAGTGATTTACCTTTCTTTATTAGCTGCCGAATTGCCCTCCAGTGAGCGGCTCCACTGAGAAAGAGAGACTGACCAGTGTTAACTGGTTCCTGGCCAGAAAGTAAGAGAGATTTGGGCATTAACTACGCAAGGAAGTCAAACTGCTGCTGCGTAGGAGACAGAGGCGCAGGGTTGCAGGAGGAAGGCAGCTCCCTTATCCCTGGATTCTCATTAACAGAGCAGCTCGTGGGCAGAAAGAAAGCAGAGCAGTCAGGGTGCTGAGAGGTATGAAAGACATGGCTTCTAGTCCAAGTAGCTTGAAGTAGCACGGAGCCAGGTGGGAACCAGATTTTCCATTTCTTCAGAAGTGCTGTAATTTCATGGGGGGTGCGGGAGGGCTTGGCTCCCATTATGTTTTGAAATGGAGAAAAGAAAGAGAGAGAACTTCCTCTGAAATGCTAGACATAGGCCATGCAATGGGGGGAAAAAAATAAATGTTTCATTGTCATTTCCATCTTTTTAAGTTTAGTACATTAAAAATTCTTCTTTTCAACATAATTTCAAAGCAAAAAAACATCAAAGAGTATCATTCTCAAAACGTTGATGTGGGGCATTCCAATATCACTAAAATGCTTTGCCTTTTTCCCCAGAATAAAATTTCACCCAAATTGACACATTTTATAAGTTCTGATTTTGATAAGAACAATATTTTTATATATTAAAAGAATCAACACCTTCTGCCTAGTTCTAATATCTATATTAAAAAAAAAATAAAAACAGATATACGGTGCTGGAAAACTCAGCCTAGCAAACAACTTTATGGGAGGTATTGATCTTGTATGGATATTTGTAGAAAATTCCCTCCCAAAGTTTCCTTCCTAATCGGGGAAGGACTCTGAGTTTGTTCTGTCTCTCTCGCTCTCTCTTGCTGTTCCAGAAGCCAGTAGGTTGGGTTGCAGAGAGGAGCTATCCATGGTATTACTCAGCTCCTCAAGGTCCACTCCTTCAATTTGAAAATAAAGCGATTGCTAGACTGGATTACCACAGTCATCCTCCTAATGTATCCCATCTGCATGCATGATTCCAGATACTTCCCAGGAATGGTTAAGAAACCCCATAGGTTGACAACTCATAGGTCTAACTGAGATCCTACCAACCTCGAGACACCTCAAGCTACAAGCTGCTGCTTTATCAAGTGTTTGATCGTAATTCTCTCCCAGATGTGTATCTTTCCTATGCCATGGGTGGCTGTATCTAATCAGCACTTTCCCTGTCTAATTGCCTCATTGCAAGCTTCTCCCTGAACTTGTCAGACACAAACTCACACTTCATGCCTTACTTGTCAGAGGAAAATTGTTCTTTTAGATGTACTTCAGAGGCAAGAACAAGGATACTAAATGTTTGGTTCAATGTATTATCAGAGTGTATTCTCTAAGAAAAGATGGGCGATGTCATGAATGACTATCATTGTTTGTTAATAATTTCTCCGGAAGCACCCAAAGTTCACTTGGGGCCGCAAAGCATACAGGAAGCCAAAGTCTCTACCACAGTATTATTCTTATAGCAAGGAATTAACAGATGATGCCAGTGATGATATTGTCCCAAAGGAAGTGCATTGCCTTGTCCTTGAACCAGGAGTCCGGGAGTCACAACTTCTGTGTCCCACTCCTGGTTTCTGTCTCGCTGTATCTAGCTATCTAAACTTTCTATCAGCTGTGATGGTAGAGGTGAATCATTCTGCTCTTGCTGGTGCAGTTCACTAGTCAGATAAGAAACTCTATTTTTTTTGTGAATGGATGTTCTGTACCACCTGTAGCTTAATTTTAGGGTAATATTTTTTTTTGCCACACTCTCCAATTAATGTCCAAATTGCCCAATACATTACTGAAAGAATTGGATTCATTCCTTTTGTTTCATACTTTTATTAGTACAAAGAAAGTAAAGAACTTGACAATCAAACACAGGGCCACTCCTTTAAAGTCTCTGGTCCCCATAATTTGGGAGTGGCAGTTAGCATCTTAGTGAGCTTTACTTTTTTCTGCTACATGTGTGCTAGCAGAGGGTATGGTTCAGATCAATACTCGCTGTAATTTACCATTCACCCAAACTTTAATCAAGGTGTACCAGCCAAAAAAGAGCCCTAGTAGAAAGTAAATGTGTCTTTAAGTATGAACTTTGAAAAACTGCATTTTTCTGCTTGCAACAGACCCAGACAGTGTTAATGGACCCCCGACTGCAATGGGAGATTTGGAAACAGGGACAAAAACCGTATTCTTGCATGGAAACTCCAAAGCAGCTTTTGAGTACGTTCCAAGTTTCAGCTGCTGCCAAGAACTAGAAGTTCAATGGAAAGGTCCAGGGCACTTACGTCACAGGCTGTCTCTTCTCCAGGCTGTCTGTCTTCTACTGCTTTGCTTAACACAGTGCACTGCTGTTGTAAACCCTCACCCGGCATCTTCAATGTTGCTGGAGATACAGAAAAAGAAAGCACGCGGCTTATGATGCTCCTCAAATTGTGAAAGTCTTTCTTCAAGTGCTGTCTCAAAGCATAGGAGAAAAAGCTGGTTTTATAGTTAGTTAATGGTTCACCTCTGATCTTATATAAATCAAACATTCTCTTTTTCATTTGTACTCTTAGTGGTTTTTCTTGTGACAAACTAGCTTTGATTTTCAGCTCAAACTGTTCTTTAACAGCAGTCAGGACACTTGTGAATCCCTTATCAGAATGGCAGTTTACAGAGACATTATTTGAGTCTTTTCGCTGATGCACAGATTGCTCTATAGCCACTTCAAGTTTTTAAAGTATGTTACTGAGGATGCTGACTTCATGAAGAATAACATGCCAAAGTACTACATTGTACATAATTTAAAATTGAACATTACCCGAGACAACCGCTTGCATTTCTTTTCTAAGTTTTGGTCCCTTTGGATTCAAACCTTTAAGGTTTGAATCCTTGGAAACTGAAACCAAAATATCATAGGCTTTTGAGTCTTGGTACTAAAATACTCAAATAACATCAGTTCAGCTTTCCCATCTTTATGTAACAGTTCTGGAAACCGGATGGTCACATGTTGACTCCTTATATCCCAGTATTGCAGCAAGACTGCAATAAAAGTATAAATGCTTTGAAGCATATCAAAAAACCGTACAGCTTCTGTATACGATTCAAAGAATGTGCAGGACCAAAAGCATCCTCTTGTTAAGGTCTCAGCTTCTCTTCTGAACTCCACTGTGTTTCTCTTTCATGTTTGCCATATTATTGTAGCCCCGGCCACTCAGATCACTAAGTGAGATTCCCATTTCTATTAACTGTTCTAGGTGCACCTCTCATGATGGTGCCACTATGTCATATCCAAAAATTCAACAAAAAAGGTATGTGGTCATAACACTGCCTTCTCTCACCTCAGTTGTTCCTTCTAAAGAAATGAATTGAAAAACCACTGTCATCCCTTCTTGCTTACTAATGACTTGGGCCCAACAGCTTTCAAAGTACAAAGGATTTCCTCCTTAATCATGTCCCTGAAAATATTCACAACTAGTGCTGGACTCTGTATCATGCTGTTGGCTTCTCTTTCCACTTTTCAGCTGCAATCTTCAGCATCAGAAAGATATTTGCATGTTCATAAACAATTGCCACTTCTGCTTTCTCTTTTGACCATGAAGATTTGTGTTGTCGCTGAAGATTGCTAGCTGACTACATGTGTGCATAAATACAAGTTAATCCAGGAACTTCTAAACAACCAAGTATCAGCTGACTCATTCAATACAACGAGTTCCCTATTGTCTGCTGTTGTTGGACAGCAAATTCCATAACACTGCCAATTTGATAATCTGAACAGAAAACAAATACTGCTGAGGAATAATAGATGCTTCATATTTGCAAACATGCTTTTTTTGCTGCTCCTAACTCCTAGCTAGGGTAGTTCACTGCCTACTTCCCCTACCCTTAAAGCCAGTCTAGTATATGTAGCACGGGTTTTCCCCCAGCAACATTCAAATGATCTGCAGCTTCGCTTTTGATCACCAATGAACTAACTTGGACAAAGTGACTGTTATATTTGGTGTAAAGAAAAATGTCACAATGGATAAGACACTGATGCGTGTAGAGCTGAGAGCTTTGTTCTTCTAAATCTTTTAACACCTTGGCACCATAGTCAGAAAATGTTCTTACCTCCAGGATGCAGAAAACTTGGAGAGTTGAAATATTTCACAGCCAAGCTAACTTTATCCCTCTTTCCCCAAGTAAAATGAAAGGAAGCTCCTAATCATTGCATATATACCACATGACTGTTTGCAATGTGCCTGATGACCAGTCCCTGACTGAGATCTAGGATGGAAGTCCAGCAAAACGTTTGGGATCTGAGATATTTTGGACAAGCCCCACAACTTTGATGCAAGTGGAGGGGTTTTGACACCTTTGGCATCCTGTAGATGGGAGTTGCAGTCATTAGGATCTTGTAGTAGTAGAAATAGTAGTAGTAGTAACAATAATAACAACATGACATCACATGCCTAAAAAAGATCAGCCTTTGAGTAGTGGTTAGGGATTTACTATGATTATTTCCCTTGTATTCACTGGCAAGAATACAAGACAGTTATATTGTGCTGCCGTGGCTTGCTGGCATTTGGGGTGATGGAGCTTATATCACAATGGGTGGCCAGTGCCTGATTTTAGGTTCCTTTCCATGGCCTTGTGTTTTTCATCCTATCTATCATTCCCAGGGATCATGAGGACTGCAAGACCAGAGCCTATTTGAGATCCATATTCTATATGGTCTCAGGCCCTTTTCCTTCAACATCCCTTATTCTGCCTGTGCTGTACTGCGCAGGCATTTGCCTGGTAGAAGTGAATGGATGAAACTCATGTAAACTATTTCACTGGCTTGCTTTACAATCTTGAGCTAGCTGTGTGCCTGTAACATGTCTAATACTTACATGGGCTACAGTTCTTCCTATGTCTTTTAAACTCTGCTTACAGGGACTGTCTCTTAGTATGTTTTAGTGCTCACTACACAATGAACCAATGGTTGGGGCCTCTAAGTAGAAAAACAGAGCCAGTGTCAGGTTAATTTTGCAATGTATTCAGTATGGGCACCCCTTGGGATAGGGGAAAATGTCTAGTTTCCATTAAAGACGAAAAGGGGCTAGGTAGGTTGAGCCCAAAGTTAATTGCCTCAAGACAACCTCAGCTCCTGCTTCTATACAGCTTCTCATTCATCATGACCGTAGCCTCCCTCCCTAACAGTCCCACATGACCCCTTTCTCTGCTGACCATTTCTCCACTTCCTGCCAGAGTGCTCCACTTACTCTGATTTGAGAGCTGCCACGTGACAGCTTTTGTGGTGCCAAGCACTGTTACAGCTTTATTTAGACCCGTGTGGAGAAGCCATCTGTTCTGTCTCACAGGAGGCTTACTTTTCGCACCCGGTGCATCGCCCTCCAGGCTGTGTTGCAGCAGCTTATGCAAAAGTTCCCTGAAATGACAGCTGACAACAAACTAGCAACAAAGGAGGCCCTGTTGCTGTATCCTTTCAAGTCAAACAAGTGGTTTTACGTTTTTCTTTTTTTCATCTTTCTGTATTGCCCACCTTTCTAGAAAAAAAGGAGGGAGCTGGCTGAGCCTGCCAGTGTGCCAGGTGGAAAACCCAGAGCCAAGTTCTGTTTTACTTAGCGTGCAAAGTCTATGAAAGTGCCAAATGATACTTGCCCAGCTGCTGCCTAGTTCCACCAGTGTTGCCCTGCTTGCTGTGTGTGAGCCTACTGGGCATGCTTGAAGGCTTCACTGGGGGCTGCATAGGCTCTAAAGTAGAACAGAATCACCTTGGATAACGTCCTGAGAAACCCCCCAAAACTTAGCTCAGAGAAAAAACTAAGGCTCATGACTCTTTGACAGGGGAGGCAAGAGTAGCCGATCCTACCAATACTCTAGGGGTTAAGGCACATGCCCTCAAAGCAAGGAACCCAGATTCTGGGCATACTTCGCCCAGATGGTGTTTGAACCTGCCTCTCCTCGAAAGTGTTCTGGCCATCAAGCGAGAGGTAAATAGTACACAGCTAGTCTCTTAAAGCAAACGAGTGGGATATGAGTGAGATGAAGAAGAGCATGATCAAGTGCTGCTGAGGTTCAGTGAGTTGAGGACTCTCCTGGAAAAGGAAGGGGCCCTCTCTTACTCCCATCTATGCACTTCAGAAGGTTTTCTACACCTTGCATTTACTGGAGAAAAAGGACAGACAGACAGCAGCAGAACAGCTTCTGCCTTCTTGAATGCAGGCCTCAGGATCCTTGTCCTTCAGGGGCATTGCCTGTTTTACTAACCTTCACTGCTTCTAGTTTGCTGGTTCCTAGCCCCACAGATCTTTCCCTCTCATTTGCACCATGGGCCATCTTCACTAAGACTGCTGGAAAACGTTCTGCATGCCTAGCCCATCGCACAGTAGTCAGTGCTGTGGTAGGAAGTGGGAGATGCAGGTTTAAGCCCTTTCTGAGTGATTTGGAAGGGAGAAAAACTTGAGTGTTTTGTGACCTGGACAAATATTTATTGGACTAAAAGATGTGGTGGCCACCACCTCCTCCCATTCCCTCTGATTTAGTAAGTGGGAGGACACAATCCAGGCAGCATAAAGAACAAGACTTGCTTTGGGAGGCATAGCCTACTTCCTGGGACACAGACATTTTAAGTTGAAGTCTTGAGTCTGCAACAGACTTTGGGCAATTAATTGACAGCCAGGTTCTGTCCTCATCACCCCAGTGTTTGAGTTCTCCCTGATTAGTACTATTCACATCAGCAGGCTTATTTATGAGTCTCCTTAAGAAAAGTTAAAATAATCAGCCCCTAACCTCTCTGTGCCTCAGTTCCCTACCTGCAAAAAGGGGACTAATAAAATTTTATTTTTCTGTCTTATCTATTTAGATAGGAGGTCTGGTGGGATCTCTGAGTTACCTGCTTCACAGGGCCCTGATCTCAAGTGGAGCCTTTATCTGCTGTCAAAATACCAGTAATCATGAGAGCAATATTTGCAGTGCATTGGTTTGAGATAGTTCAGGCTGTTGACAGGTCTCGGGTGGGACTGATAACATGGGTGGGGGGCATGCTGCTGGAAACCCATGTGGCATTCAGACCGCTGAGGGTTATGTTGGACCCCTCCATGGCACCCCGACAGGGTGGTTCCAAAGAGGATGGAGCTAGACTCTCCTTAGTGGTGGCAGATGACAAAGCAGGGAGCAATGGAATTAAATTGCACAAAGGGAAGTTTGGATTAGATATTAGGGGAAAAAAATTCTCATTAAGTGGGCAATAAATCACTGGAACAGGTTACCCAGAGAGGCAGTGGAATCTCCATCGCTGAAGGTTTTTAAGCGATGCCCAGACAAAGCCTTGCCTGGGATGATCTAGTTGGGGATGGTCCTGCTTTGACTGGACCAGGCCTCCTGAGGTCCTTTCCAACCCTAATTTTCTATGATTTT